TGCGCCAGCATAGCGCAGAAGAGCTAGGTCTGTGAATACTCAAGAATTCGAAAGGAAAAAGCGGTTTTGCTTCATGAACGAAGGATTATTGAGTTTTTCGTTAATGTTTTTATTAGAACAAAGTATCTAGACAAACATGCACCCGAAAAATAAAAAATTGTAGAAAAGCAAAATTTTGTCCTCGTGGGGATTCGAACCATCGACCTATTTCTTACTTTTTATCCCAGGAGAGCGCAGCGAAAATCGGTTCTAGTCCCCGTATGTGTCCCTACAATGTTCAAAAAACCGTCTACAAAAAGCGCATCACACCCTGAACCACCTCCCTTGTAAGCAGGCACAAAAGTACGAGAAGTAAAGGTCCCGGCACTCAAGGTCAGCATCAGGATGACAAAATAACCGAGTGAAGGCCTTTACTTCAACCCATCAGGCATCTTTGAGATGACTTGAAGCATGAGTCCAAAGAAAGAAGATCACCAACACGAGTGAGCAGTTACATGCATTCAGGATTTGGAAGCCAATATCCGTGGGTACCTCTAAAGCTCCTGTGAAGTCGGTTCCACGGGTGAAGATGGCTCTAATGAAGTCCAGTAGTAAGCAAACCAAAATGAGACCGCTGAATAGTTTTCCATGTCAAATTCTCGCTAACTGCTTACCGTTCCACTGTTTTGTTAATGAAGAAGAGCTCTAGAACTGTCTGAAACGCGATTTTGTGGCTCGTGTCAAGTTTTTTTTTCCCGCAGCTCTATATACACCCCCTGCAGAGCTACACGACATTCCGAAAATTTGTATTTTTGAGGCTGGCACGAGCTCAGTAGAAAAAGGGCTAGTCCCACCCCTTGTGCTTGTGAAAGAAACTTACAGAGAGGAATATCGTTCAAGTTCACTGGTTTACAGAAATTCAGTCATAAAATGGAAGAAATAGCCATTGCGAAACTTTACGACATAGTACAATCCTTGGCAGAACTTTTATAGCAGATAATGTGTAACGCAGCGAATTACAAGCAATAAAGCAGCAGGATATCAGATTAATAATCCACCGGAGCGCTTTGACCCAATATAACGTCAAAGAGTCGATCTGGCATACTCTCAACCAATTTTTCAAGCAGCCCTTCTGTACATTAGTCCACTCCATGAGAATTCATTTTGTAGGCTCGTACCAGACTCGTTCTCCTTGCTCTGATATAGAGTCGCCGTGCAAGGATGCTCCACAATTTCTCCATTGGGTCCAGGGCTGGAGAGCAAGCTGGCTATCCGAGTAATTCCACATGGTGGGCTTCAAAGCCAGTCCATGGCTGATTAGCTAACGTGTGTGGCAGCATTGTCCTGCTGGAAAATGTGGCGATGTTGACGGTGGCGTCTTAGAAATGGCAGCAGCTGGTCCCTGAGCACTTCCTGGTAATCGATGGAGTTCATTCGGCATGTTTTGAAGATTGCATGTTGTGAGACTACCCCCAGCTTTCAGCTGAAGGCGGCCAAGCATATCACACTTCCTTCACCAGTATTTTTTCCGAAAAGCTGATAGGTCCTTTCCGTAGATCTCTCCACTATGAAGGCCATCCGTCAGGCCCGCCCAAATTAAACTTTTTCTCCTTGAAAAAAAAATGATCTGGAACATCAACTACCGCACGGGTTCATCTAGCCTTAAGCAATGACAAAAAGAGAGAGTAGAACTACGGCCTTCCAATTAGTCTGCAAGTTCGCTCAAGCGAAACAAAGTCGTGCATCTTTGTGTTTTTGCGTGGGACAAGAATTTTTTTTCATTTTTGCATGAATGACGTGAGGCGAATTATTGAACACACACGATGGTGGATTTGCTCACGTTGAGCCCCAGTTCTTTCTTTTTTTGCTGGCTGTCTTCGTTGTGTTTGAGGCCAATCTCACAAGCTTCTGGCTCATCAGGTGGATAGTCCAGTGAAGATCGAGGATCAGGAAGACGAGTGCTCCTTGGCACACTGTTCCATGTAATGAAGGGTTACGTAGCATATACATATACAATGCGAAAGGTCATTTTGCAATGAAACTCAGGAAAAACTGAAATTTACTTCGGGCATCCAGCTATGTCGTATGGTTCTGCAACGATTATTTTTTTCGTCTTTTTAGCCACTGATTTCTGCAGATCAACCCTTTTGAATGCAAATCCTTTACTGAGGGTTTCTTTACAAGCTGAATCGAATGGCACTAGCCGTTTTTCTGCTAATTAGGGAAGGCCGCAACTTACCGTGGAACTTTGAACAGAGACCTGGGTGGATTGATAGAGTCTAGGCTATTAACAAATATAGATAGCAAAACTGCAACGTGCATTCCACAAGCAACTTATGAGCAGGTAAAGTTTGTAATGGTGCAGTAGGGTCGAGGCTTGGTGGTGAGCTGTGAAGATAATCAAGGAATCGCATACGTCCGAATGAGTCCCAGTGGTTCAGTGGTAACTTCTCGCTTCGCAGGCACAGCATGCTGGTTCGATTCCCGGAACCACGGAAACTTTTGCATCGTTGGTTTTTACCTGATTTTTTGACTTGCGTACGGATTAACACCTGGCCATCACTTGATTCACGTTCTTGACGTCTATTTACTGCGGAACTTTTTGTGCGTGATTTACTTCATTAGTAACACTGAAAATACCACGGTGACACCTCTAGAAGTGTTCTTTTTTGGCCCCATGAAAAATGTTATGAAACGGATTAGGACCTCGGCGATGGTGAATAATGTGGCGTTCAACATGACCCACAGAGACAACATACTGAAGGTGTTGTCGCAAGTGTACCGGATGTTTTGTGCCCCGAGATTCTCTAATTTTCTGAAATACTCGTGGTACAAAGCAGGTTATATTGATCATCACCCAGGAGCTTTTGTCACTCCTGGTGACTACTTGTTCAACCTTGAAACGTCTGTTTCATTAACGATTGTAGAGAAACAGCATCCATTAGATGCGCAGTTTGCGAGCAGCATATCTGCTTCACTCATTTTTTTGAATTGTTTCATCAGTGTTGAAGCATGAGTAGCAGTTTGAATAGTTTGCAGATATTTTCAATGTTATGAATGAAGTAAATCACGCACAAAAAGTTCCGCAGTAAATATACGTCAAGAACGTGAATCAAGTGATGGCCAGGTGTTAATCCGTACGCAAGTCAAAAATCAGGTAAAAACCAACGGAGCAAAATTTCCATGGCTCTGGGAATCGAACCAGCATGCTGTGCCTGCGAAGCGAGAACCTTACCACTGACGTATGCGACTTCCTTGATTATCCTTCACAGCTCACCACCAAGCCTCCACCCTACTGCCATTACAAACTTTACCTGCTCATAAGTTGCTTGTGGAATGCACGTTGCAGTTTTGCTATCTATATTTGTTAATAGCCTTATAGACTCTATCGATCCACCCAGGTCTCCATTCAAAGTTCCATGGTAAGTTGGCGGCCTTCCCCGGTAAGTTGACACTAATCTAAAAACTTAAAAATACAGGCTATGTCGCATAGTTTAACGGATTGTACAACCGACTATATATAATCCACTAAGTTTCTCTGCTGATGTCTGTGTGCTTGGCCGGAAATTCACAACTTTCTTTGATTTAGCCGTGGAGAGTTCGAACTGACAAGTGATAGTATGTGTGACGTGACCATTATTGGTGGGTGACAGACAACGATAACAGTTGATAAGAGAGATAGGAGTGCTGGAAATGGAGGGTCATCAAATTCGTAGTCCCATTCCCAACAAAGGTACTCCACCCACTTTTGAAAAGCGATCCGAATCGACAGTCCAGGGGAACCCGGAACGCGAAACCAGGGAAAGTTTGTTCCTGATGAGGAGGGGCGACCATGATGTGCCACTTCGGACTGCAGTCTGCCAGTTTGAATCGTTCTTCAAAAGTGGGCGGAGCCCCCGCAAAAAGGACAGGGCTTCTTAAATTGGTCGGAAACGTCTAGTACAGCCTGAAAGGACGCAATTTTTAAAGGAAACCAAGAATTCCGCAGAAAAAAAAGACGCGAAAATGGGGGCAGTCAGAGCGGCAGGGCTTAGCGTGGCGGTGTACAGATGGGTTACGTGACATCTTGAACTTTGTGCATGGTCCTGTTGCGAAACCAAGAAACGCAGATAGAGGACAGCGCCTGCCAAAGCATCGAGACGTGCAAGAAACTATGGCGAGCCAGGAAACAACTTCTTCAAGGAGAGGGGACTCCGCGGTGGGTGAGCCACAGCTACCGTACGTGGAAAGCTGGAGTCGCAACGACCATAGAGTGCCACGCGGACGAGAGAGAGAGAGAGCAGAGAAAAGTACAAATTCGACGCGTTCAAAGGAGCTGAGTTCAAGTCCGTAGACCGTACGGATGCATGTCTATGAATGCATTCGTTCTGCAAAGGACGGATGTGGAAAGAACAGAAGTAGTAAAAAGTCGTAAAAACTCAAAATTTATGATAACTTCGTTAAGAATGCGCGGAGTCGTACCTGTGCCGTACCAATACTCTTCAAACAGAGATACTAGACAGTGTGTGTGTGTGTGTGTGTGTGTGTGTGTGTGTGTGTGTGTGTGTGTGTGTGTGTGACAGAAAAGTGCAGAAAAGTCAGAAAAGGTGAGTTCGTAAAAGGAATTCTGAAAAACCATGACCACGCAGAGAAGCGGGCCGGGGCAACGAGGCGGGGCCTGCAGCAGTACCTAGTGCGGTCTGGTTGAACTGCCCAGTGTGAGGGGTTTGTTTGATTTGTTTACAGTGTCCGATTTGCGATTCGAAACGAAAATGGTATGAAATGGTAGGGATTGTTCTTCTCGATTGTTCTTGATTACGCTCGCCGCATTCGACAAAACATGCGTGTTCTATTCAGACAGAAAAAAAGACAAAAGCAGGCAATCCAGAAACGGCTCGCTCTCCTCCAAAGCCGTGAAGCCGAAGATTAGTTGAAAGGACCGCTATTAACACCCTGTTGAATTAGTAGTGAGATTGATCACTGAAAACCGGAAAGTATTCCCCCGTTTTCATGCAACAACTTAGCTCTGTACAGAAAAGATCTCACTTCGGAACCTGAATGGTTCTATACGTCTCAGGATCCACATTAGTGACTCCGAATCTCAGCACACCCGACCAACTCGTTGAAACCTCATTCAGGCGAATACATACATTTTCATTGACCGAAACTGGCCTATAAAGAAAGGAGCAGTAGTTTCCAACCTAGGCGACATCACCTATAGAGAAATGAGCTCACCTGTTAGAAAACGCAAGTCCTTTACAGAAGCTTTCTTTCCTCCTCGCCACTCTACCGCCTGAATATCTATATTAGACTATTCGAAATATGAACGACAAATGTAAAAAATTACCTTTTTGCAACACTACGTTTTGCCCATGTACCGCGTGAAATATAAGTTGCGGGAGTCTAGTTTCTACAGTACCTAAAATTTCGCAGCGGCGAGAAAATGAAGAAACTGATACGACTAGTTATTGAGAACAAACCTTGATTTACCGCGATTCCACCCAAATCGGAGAATGAGTCTACCATTGCTGGAAAAGAAGTAATGAGGTTAGAATTCTAACGCTTGCTGCACCTCCACGATCTGATTGCCCACACATAAGGCGATCAGTCACTGAGTGAGGGGAGCGGTCTCGCGAAAGTCATCTTCCGATAAAAGGCTCGCTCATTCAGAGCCGCAAGTGCTAATAGAAAAGAGCTCAAATGACTAGATTTGGAAGCAGGATTGAGCTTTCAAGTATAAATGCGGTTATTCTTCCTGCGTACCTACCTGGTGTTGCGACACCACAAAGAAGTATGCCCAAGTGATGTGATGTGTGATCAAGAAAAAAAAACTGCGTATTCGAAAAATTGTTTCAACCGACCGGTTTCCCAGCCTTATGTAGCGAGGATTCTCTCAAGAGCATTACTTGAATAGGTAGCGAAATCACCTCAGTAACCAGAAACGCCGTAGATTCAACTGTGCGGCGCGCACTTAACACCGCATTCCCGCATGTAATGACAAAATAGCCAGAATAAAACACGGATGAGTGGTGGACTGTACGCCTTTTTGTTTCAAAGTAACATTACGCCTTGTGCCAGAAAGAAGCGCCTTTCAAGAAAGATTGGGCAAAGAGGTACGAGAGATGACTTGGACGGGAGAAAAAGAAAGAGAAAAAGAAATAGTTAGGAGGACGAAGATTTAGTCTCACACGAGAGAAGGTGAGCGAGGGAGGGGGGGGGGGTCAGGACCGCCATTTTATGCCTCGCGACGATTACCCCGATTGCAGAGATCCATACAGCCATGCGACTAAAATCCTTCTCCCTTTACCTTGTTTTGGCATCATGCCACCCTGCATGGCACTTTGCCGCATCGTCAGGATGACCGATTAGACGCCAATATTCTCTGATTACTGCTCTATTTCTTCAACGGATTGCTCTCGCATTCTATCTACTTCTCTCTGTGGCTGTTTCTACTGGTGCTAGAAATACTGCTTTTACACTTTGGTTGAAACTCGTCGGCTGTTTGTTTCCTTTTGTGTTCTGCTACTGCTTCAGTTTTGTTTGTGAATGCTCTTTCCCTCATATTTTTTTCCTACATTGCGCTTTCCCTGTCTTGCCTCTTTTCCTTTGGCATTTTCCTATTTCCTTGCTGGTGGATGGTTCTTAGTGACAGGATCCATAATTCTTGCTCTTTGCAACTCGTTCACGGCATGGAGAATTCTGTGAGGCCTATCCAATAATCGATTGACCAACATTTTCTGCCCAGTAACAGCACATTAAGGTAGGGCACACCCAGTGAACACCTATAGTCAACGTAGCATCAATATTTTTGGTTCTTTTTCCTTATATCTATCCTATACAGGGGGGGGGGCAAAAAAAGACACTTCGACCGAGTCACATATCAGCAAAGTTTTCGCAGCCCAGACAGAGGACGTGGATACGAGTACCAGGGCGGAAGATACCCAAGATGTTCCTCTATAAGCAGGAGCTGGCTCTCGCCCATCACCTTCATGTACACCAAAATATGAAGTCATCTCCAGTCGCAGCCTGACTGGAGAAGACCTTTGGAATTCATGTCACCTCCAAACAGCTGCGAAACTTCTAGTGTGGAGTCACCCATGGACCTGGAGACCAGTACTCTCGATCTGGAAGACCTCCAACATCGAGCAGCTCCGACAACGTCGCTACGGTCTAGGACATCATCTTCACCGCAGTCGCCAAGGCGCGGGTTGATGGTATGGACCGGAAGTTCCTGGAATGGAAGACCGATATTTTCTTCGTGGACCCCGGACTGAAGGTGAGCGCTGGCGGCGAGCAACTCGAGAAGAATATCCTCCCACATGTCGTCGCCCGTACCTTCTTGGAAACTTTGTACTGCTACAGGATTGGGTGACACCACATGGAATCGAAGGGCGTTGGAAAACTCTCGCCTACTTGGAATGGAAGGGCGTTGAGTACCTGAAGAAGATGGAATATCTAAGCAGGTCACCTGACCTAAACCCCCTCAATTACCTGGTTCGGGCGGAGTTCAATAGGGTGGTCTACAGTGGCGGAGAAATCAACGATCTCGCTGAACTCAGGCACCCACTCACGGTCGCGTGGCAGAATCTCTCGATGGCGCTCCTCCAGAAGGCTGTGGCGGAGTATCATGATAGTATTTAATATGCTCTTTAATATGGTGGTAGAAATGTCCGATCAGAATTTGATAAAGTGTAACTTATAGCGCCTCGAAAGTCAAGGAAGAAAAGTGTCTTTTTTTTTGCCCCCTTCCCCTGCTTTTCCCAAAAGCCCCTAAGGTTGCCTGCAAACTCCAAGTCTTTGTCATGAAGGTTCTGTTTTCGAATTTAGAAAAAGCTTTCTGCTGTTGATTTGGGGCACCTATCAAAGGCCGTGGCTATTATTGCTACTTCACACCCGAAAAAAGAACAGCTTTGCCAATGTGTCCTACTATATATATATATATATATATATATATATATATATATATATATATATATATATATATATATATATATATATATATATATATATATATATATATATATATATATATATATATATATATATATATATATATATATATATATATATATATATATATATATCCTACTCTATATAATCCGCTAAGTATGTCTGTAAGTGTGTGTGTGTGTGTATGTTTGTGTGTGCGTCTGTCTGTGTGTCACGAAATTCATAGCGCCGGTCCCAGTAACAGTGAGACATTGATTTCAAGAAGTGATGTAGGGGTGTGACGGGAACACAATTGGTGGGTGACAGGAAGTGATATCAGCTGATAAGATACGATAAGAGGCGTTAGAAGGGGGAGGTCACCATATTCATAACGCGGGTGACAGCAGCAGTGGGACGTTGGTTCCGAGCAGTGAAATAGGGGGTGGGACGAAAACATTATTGGTAGGTGACAGGATGTGATATCAGCTGATAAGATCTGATAATGGGCATTAGAAGGGAAGGACTACCAAATTCACAGTGCGGCTCACAGGAACAGTGGGTCCTTGGATCCGAGAGGTGATATAGGGTGTGGGACGGGAACATCATTGGCGGGCGACAGAAAGTGATAACAGTTGATAAGATACGATAAGCAGCCTCGGAAGGGAAGGGTCATCAAATTCGTATCGCAGGTTACGCAACAGTGGGGACCTCAGATACGTGAGGTGATATAGGGTGTGGGACGGGAACATATTGGCGGGTGACAGAAAGTGATAACAGTTGATAAGATACGATAAGCGGCTTCGGAAGGGAGGGTCATCAAATTCGTAACGCAGGTTACAGCAACGGTGGGACCTCGGATCCGAGAGGCGATACAGGGTGATGATAGTGATACGGGACGGGAGTGTTATTGGCGGGTACGGAAGTGATAGGAGCTAAAAGTGACAAGGTAACATGGGAAAATCCGCTTCACCGCTCACAACAACAATGCGATCGATATGACTCAAGTATAACGATCTCAATGATTCCAACAGAACTCATTCCTCGCTGCTTATTAGTAACGACATCATGTACGACCGCTAAGCTAGCTCTATTCCAAATGCATGGGGTTTGTTTACAAGATGTTATGAACAGCATCAATTCACTTAATCACGCTTACCACAATTATCTTCCATCAACAACCTTAGTGAGGGCCATTTAAAGCGTTCCACTGCTGAATGCGGCAGGGGTGCGAATCACCCTATACAAGATTACAATTTTAGGACACCAGGCCACTGCCTGCAAAGCTGCTCGCGTGGCAGCTAGACGTGAGTTTGCGCGTGGGTTGCTCCATCTATTACGACTCGATCAAATTATGGGTATGGGTGGGGGGGGGGGGGAGTATGTAGTTTGCCTGAAACAGGAAACTCCGGAACAGAACCTGAATAGTGGCTGTCGCTTCATCAAATGGCGTTCAACAGCCTTTTTTATACTTTTGACCAATGTCAATTTAGCAGATGAGAACGACCAACACGGAGGCGTGTCAGCCTACATAATAATAATCTTTAGAGCGGGACCGCATGCTAATTGAAAATAGGAACATTCATCGGTAGGCATTTCGGTGCAGGTGATGTAAACGAAATCTCTTCTTCTACTGAGTGATTCACATTGCGCTGTATTTTATCCAAGCTCACAATTGTATGCTAAGTGGTGCAGGATCCTAAGCCTTGCTCTGTCTGTTACGATTCGATTCCTACAGCGCCGTAGCAGCCCATTATTAAAAAGGCTTCGTTAAAGTTATGGAGCGCGCCTTAAGGAGAGCTCGGCGTTAGCCGGGCGATCCGACTGGTATATATATATATATATATATATATATATATATATATATATATATATATATATATATATATATATATATATATATATATATATATATATATATATATATATATATATATATATATATATATATATATATATATATATATATATATATATATGCTGGTAAGCGCCGGTCCCAGCAAAAGGTAGAACATTGCTTCCAAGATATGCTGTATGGTAGGAGATAGGAACATTATTGGTGGGTGGCAGAAAGTGATAACAGATGAGAGCTAAGTGCGGGATTTTAGAATGAATGGGTACCCAAATTTGTAGCGATGTTTCCCGCGATGGAATAACGTTGGTTATAATGTATGATATAGGGCAGGAGATAAGAACATTATTGTTGGGTGGTAGAAAGTGATAACAGCTAACACTGACCTACAACACACCAGTGTTATTCCATTGCGGGAAACGACGATACTAATTTGGGGGTTCATCCATTCTAAGACCCCGTGCTGTATACTGGCAGCTGTTATCTCTTTCTAGCCCCACCAACACTGTTCCTATCCCCTGCCACTTCATATACTGGAACCAGTGTTATTCCACTGCGGGAAATGGCGCTATTAATTTGGGGGCCCATTCATTCTAAGACCCATACTGCATACTGTCAGCTATTATCTCTTTCTACCACCCACCGCTATGGTACCTATTCTCTGCCCAACAGGAAGTGGTAGTGACAAGTGGCACGCTCACCACTCACGCGGTCCTGTGCTCAAATAAGGGCACACCATTCGTTGGGG